TAGTTCATCAGTCTTTCAGTGGTAATTCAAATATTTAAGTGACAAATTGAAAACTTCTACAGTCATATCTGCTTTATATTAAGCAATGTTTTCTGTGTGTGATGACACATTTTTTTAATGACCATTTTCTCTTCAACTCCACAATTACCAGGTTGTCTTAATGATTGGTGGCAAAAGTTGCAATTAGATGTAGCTAAACCGAAATGTAATTGACGTCTAGTAAAGGGTTAGCAGAAACCTAGCCTACATTCCTATCAATAAGATAATTCCTATCTTGATGTACAAAACACGAATTATATCATCTTTTTTTTTGTTTCACAGGCAAGTACGCTATGCGGGACCTTGTGTTCTGTTTACCGGGTGGTCCTGGTGAGCAGGCATCAAAGCGATCGGTTGACATGACAATATCGGTTCTCAACTGTTTACATGAAGTTATACTTCGAAATATGGAAAATGCAAAATCATTACGAGATGCAAGTGGAATTGAGAAGCTTGTCACAATGTCTAAAATGAGAGATAAGTTTGATATGAGGATCGTCCGGGCAGCAAATCAGGTGAGAAAATTATACAAGATGCTTCAGAAAGACAATTTTTTGCTCGTTTAGTATGCAACACGTGATGTAATTTTTATTGTGGGGAAAATTTTATTTTAACAACTGATTTCTGTTCTCGTTTCTTCATGGATTTGTATTTTATTCATTATAAACCTAGGTGCTTGTGACACTGTGGGGATTCAAAGACCTCCGAATTTTGTATAAAAAAGATGGCTGGAATGCTGGTCATTTTACACCCAGTTTACGAACATCAACGCGTCCAACTCCACAGCCAGCATCGTCACCATCAACACAGCCACAGAGTGGCGATACAAATAACAGACCATCCACAATGTCACCGACCTCTCCGGGTCATGGATCAGATTATGACACAACACTGCCACTTAGGTCAGCGCAAGATCAAGATCGTGGCCCAGTATATATAGGACAACCCGCCCCAACCTATGATGATAGATATGGTTCAGGTAAACCAATTATAAACAAAATAATTTGGTAAACTCTAGCATGTGTAGGCTATATGCAACAACACTTGGACAGCTGGCTATGTACATGTGTAGAGCACCTAGGCAGCTGGCTATG